GCTCTGTCTCTCTCTGTCTCAAAAATAAATAAACATTAAAAAAAATTTTTTTAATAAATAAATAAATAAAAAATAAACATCAACTATCTCCAACAACCCTGGGTAAGGGTGTGCCAGGAGAGTTGTTGCCTTCCACAACAACTAGGGAAGTGAAAGCTCCATGCCCTACAGCATGATGGGACAGTATGGGGTTGCCTACTGTCTTTTTTAAAGTTTTAATTTATTGGGGCGCTTGGGTGGCTCAGTCAGTTAAGCGGCGACTCCAGCTCAGGTCATGATCTCGCGGTTTGTGGGTTTGAGCCCCGTGTCAGGCTCTGTGCTGACAGCTCAGAGCCTGGAGCCTCCTTTCAATTCTGTGTCTCCCTCTTTCTTTGCCCCTCCCCTGCTTGCTCTGTGTCTCTTTCTCTCAAAAATAATAAACGTTAAAAAAAATTTTTAATAAAAAAAAAAATTAAAGCTTTTAATTTATTTAAGTAATCTCTACACTCCATGTGGGGCTCAAACTCATGACCTGAGATCAAGAATCACATGCTCTTCCAACAGAGCTAGCCAGGCACCTGGGGTTGCCTACAGCTCAAGAGCTGCCTTCTATCAGCCTCTTGGCCCCTGGAGGTCCTGTGGAGACCGCAGAGTCAGGAGCACCCTTCTCGTAAGTACACGTAGGCGCAGACTTTCTGATTTATTGTCTATGTGCTGAACCTCGGTGTATGAAGATGAGACTCCACAGCAAAGGAGGTGCTGCCAACCCCACTCTCGCTGATATGAATCAGACCAGCCAGAGAACAACGTGCAGGGAGGAGAGCCAACTGAATTGTGTGCAAAAAAGCATAAAATCACCGGACTCCGTGTAATTGAGGAGAATAACATTCAGAGGAGAGAGTGATCCGAATTGTGTCCGAAAAACAATGAAATCACAGGACGCCATGTCAATTGTAGGAGGTGGAAATGTTTAGCTTGGCGAAGAGATGCTACATCAATAGCCTGGGATTCAACACCTCAACCTACCACTTGCTAGAGGTGTGGTCATGGGGCACCTGGCCAGCCCAGTCGGTAGAGGTGTGGTCTTGTGCAAGAGATTTCAACCTGCCATGCCTCTATTTCCTCATCTGTAAAATGGGGATTATTATAGCATTTAACTCATGAGGTTGTTTGAAGGATTAAATGAGATAATGCATGTAATGTGCTCAGGCCAGTGTCTGGCATGTAATGTCTGAAAAAATGGGGGCTGTAATTGTTTTATTCGGACTAGATGCCCCTTTAACCCATATTCTACAATTAGGAATCCAAGGTACTTTGGAGGAGCCGAGGCAATCTAACCCAAAATTAACTGCAAGGAAAGATATGTGCGTGAGGGATGGGGTGGGCCCTCAACCAACACTGGGGCTTCAAGCTTCCTGAAGAGCTTGAGGCTCCTTTGCTGTGACCACCAGTACAATGGGAATACCCTTGGCTCTTCAAATAATCCCTCCCCTTTCTAAGCCCTGATGGGAGTAGGGACATTAGCAAGTAGGGACATTAGAAGGTTCTGTGTTTAGCACCTTTCTATCTTGACTCTCATCCCATCCCTCTTTCTGCTACCGATTCAGAGAGCCCAAGGCTAATGGAGGTTTCTTGAAAGAAGCTTCTGGAATGTAAAGGCTCACTTACAGTATGCACTTGGAATAGGCCTGAGCCATTAGTAGAGCCTGCCTGTGTAGCCAGTATAGACATGAGGTCAGAGTAAGTAATTTGCTCAGCAACCAGACACCTGGACCCCCCCAGTCTCTTACCGTGGCTTCACAGCCTTCCCCTCCAAAGCCGTTGCTGCAGGAGATACATTTGTGTCCATCCTCACTGACCTCGCAGTAGGTCTGAATATGCTGCTTTGTGGGAAATATATGCGCTACCTGCAGCCCCCGACTGTCCCATAATCTGAAAGGAATTACAGCAGGAAATAAATCCGTGGTAAATTTGTCTGAAATACCAACTACCATAAGTCTCGGCTCTTGGCTGCTTTGGGCAGTCACGTTAGTCATGATTCACCTAAAACAGGAGTATGAACCAGATCAAGCTTGGAGACTCCAAAGCTGCCAGGAAATAACCAATTTGAAAGACATCTGAGCTCTTTCTATTTTGAGATCCAGTTAATAGGAATTTAGACCAAGCATCTTAATTGTACAAGTTAATTTGTTAATCTGGCCCTTTGGGATACTGCTTTCAATGGAGAAGAGGATATTTCTGTGCCTGTGATTTAAAAAAAAAAAAATTTTTTTTTAAGATACTTATTATGATCCAGAAGAGCAGTCACCGTTCTAGAATGAGATACAAAAGATTTACAGGTCTTGGCCTACCTGGGCCATGGGGTCCATGGGGTCCATGGGGGAGTTTTTTATTCGATCTCTCATCTCATTTTACCTCATTCCTGCTATTTGCTAAGTAGAATGAATCTCTTCTGAGATCCAAAGTTCCCAGTCATACTTTCTGCTCAAGAACGATTTACTTCTTGACTCCCCTGGTAGGGATTCCGACCCCATTTCCCTAGACAAGGCTTCACCCGGGGGCTGGCACCCAGCGGTGGCAAGTGGAGCCGGGCAGCTCAAAGTGGGGGGGACAAGCTTAACGTGAGCTCAACCTGAGTATGTCCTGAGCTTAATGTGAATACATTCACACAGCCGGCCGGGCCCCCCCCCGCCCCGGGGGGGTCAGAATCAGCTGCTTCAGAACCATCCAGGACAGGGGCTTTTTCCTGGCCCGACTTCCTGGCTTCCAACCTCTAACAGACCCCAGCCCCAGAGAACGGCAGAAGCAGAAGGGCAGAAGGCTCTGGAAAGGCACAGCGATGTGGAGAGCGGAGGGGGAAGGGAGTCACGTCGGCACGGGAACCACAAACCTTCACCAGAAACCCTTTCCCAGCTGCTCAGTAAGCCCACCTGATGGTTTTATCTTCAGAAGTCTGTAGTATATATGGTTCCTGGGGGACCCAGCACAAGTGAGTGACCTGGGAAAAGCAAAATTTTCAAAACTTCTCCATACCGAATCATTCCTCTACTGTAATTCCTGTAAACTGTGCTTGGGGCGACTGGGTGACTCAGTCCTTTGAGCATCTAACTTTGGCTCAGGTCATGATCTTGCAGTTTGTCAGTTCAAGCCCCGCATCGGGCTCACTGTCGTCAGTACTGAAGCTGTCGGCGCAGAGCCCGCTTCGTATCCTCTGTCCCCTCTCTTTCTGTCTCTCCCCTAATTTGTGATCTCTCTCTCACTCTCTCAAAAATAAATAAACATTAAAAAAAAAATCTGCTAAATAACACCCCTGCCCTACTTCTCAAGGATGCTGACTAGTACATTTGACTTGGAGGGGTTCTGTTTTGCAGACACCCACTAGTCATGCTCCACTGGCAAACCCCGGATGAGCAGGAGCAATGGTAGCAGCTCTGGGCCAGTCGTGAGTACCCAAACGCACGCAGGCGCCCAAACACGCGGTAGAGAGTTGCCTGCGAGTGGCCACTAAGGAGCGCAGCCCCCGTGCTACCTTCTACGTTCAACGGTGGGACCATGAAACCCTAGTCTAAGGCCTCACAGGGTTCAGAGTGTTCTTTCTCTTCATCCCTTGTAGCCCCCTGCTGGACAGGCATGAAACCATTTTCAAAACAACCCAAGGGGACAGGATTTTCTTCCAGCAACCTCCACAAATGTGGAGGGCATAAGGCAAGCATACCTTGCCATGGATAGTTGTCTTTGACACTGGAAAAGATGACTATGACTGACATTTGATGACCACTACAGGAACATCTACCATGTCAGGTCACAGGATCCTCCCCATTTTATACATGAAGACATATTCTAATTAACTGTCTTGGGGTAACACAGCTTAAAAGTGATGGATGTTGGGGCACCTGGCTGGTTCAATCAGTACAACATGTGATTATTGATCGCGGGGTGGTGAGTTCGAGCCCCACGTCAGGTGTAGAGATTACTTTAAAAAAAAAAAGTGATGGATCCATGATGTGAACCCAGGTATGACCGACCTCAAAGACTGTGGAGTTTATATACCAGTCTGCTACCAGAAAACGCTGGTCTTCATAAACACAGCAAATTATACATAAAGCAAAGGGTCACGCTTATGTCTCTGCACAATGTTACATGTACAGAACACACAACAAACATAAGTTGTGAGATCCTGGAGGACAAGGACTGTGTCCTGGGCCGCTAACCCTGCTCCTAGCACAGAAGGTAAGGAGTAACTATATTTTGAGGGAATGAGGACACCACTTAAAATTCTGATATAAACTAAACAGAACATGTCAAGAGAGCATCCAATCTGATAACCCTGAGAGGCCGAGTTCTTCGAGGTAAGCAGTAATGAGGACCCACACCTCTACTGCCTGGCCATGGATCTTCTGATCTCTCTCTCCAGGTTCTCTGCCTCACCCCATGCTCCCTCCTGCTGTCCTGCTCTGTTCCAAGTTTGAGTTCCTACCAGGTTCCTGGAGATGGAAGCTGTCTCTGCACACTGGCCGGTCCCAACGTCCCACAGAAGCAGGGTGTTGTCCCGAGAGCCAGTACACAGCTGTGAAGAGTCTGGGGAAACGAGGCAAAGGTGGGTCCGTGAGATGGGCCCGGCACGGGGCTTTTCAGAAAGCACAAGGGCGCTGGGAAGAGATCTGTTTTACTTCACCTGGACTCACGGCCAATCCAGTGACCACCATGGCGTGGCCAGAGAACTGCTGCCTTGGTTGTGAGGGGCCGTGCAAGTCCCACATCATGACCATCCTGTCACGAGAGGCGCTGAAGAACTGGCTCGATCTGTGCACACAGGCTATCTGCTCGAGAGAAAAAAATGCCCCAGTGTGCCGGTCTGATTGGACTTTAACATGGGAAACAGGGCGGGGCGCCTGGGTGGCTCAGGTGGTTAAACCTCCCTCTCTTATTTTTGGCTCAGGTCATGATCTCCCAGTTTGAGAGTTCGAGCTCCAGGTCGGGCTCTGCGCTGACAGTGCAGAGCCTGCTTGGGATTCTCTCTCTCTCTCCCTCTCCCTCTGCCCCTCCTCACCTCTCTCTCCCTTTATCTCTCAAACTAAATAAATGAACTTAAAAAACTGTTTTAATGGGAAACAGGGGGATGAGGGTGTTAGGGCTTGAGGCTCTTGCATGCACGGCCCTTGGCACGTCAACAACATACTCTGTGCCGCGTGAGTTGTTGGCTGTTGCCCAGTTTCATTCTGGCAGAGTTTCCATCCCGATTCCGATATTTAGTTCATTTAGGGGGATTCCAGAGAGGCAGTTGTAGAAATTGGCCTTCTCTATCATTTCTGCTGCAAGCTCACTCTACCCTGTAATGCTTTCTTAACAAATTAATATATTTTTAAATTTTTTTAACGTTTATTTATTTTTGAAAGAGAGCCACAGAGTGCAAGCAGGGGAGGAGCAGACAGAGAGGGAGACACAGAATCCGAAGCAGGCTCCGGGTTCTGAGCTGTCAGCACAGAGCGGACACGGGGCTTGGACTCACAAACCACGAGATCATGACCTGAGCCAAAGTTGGATGCTTAACTGACTGAACCACCCAGGAGCCCCAACAAAATTAATTTTTATTTAACCATTGTTGGCTTTTTAAAAAATTTCCCAACTAGACTGGAAGGTTCCTGTCATTTTTCTGGCTACAGTGAACACACAGGCAGCCTTCAGTACATGCCCCTGTGGAGTTAGGACAGTCAGGGGAGTTATTCTGAGCTGTTCTCTGCTTACCACCTGAGCTATTAAGGGCTTGGTGACAAAATAAAAATCGTGTCTAATAGGCCTGCAACAATGGCTGAGTGAACGGTCTGCTCTGTTTTTCCTCAAGAAAGGGTTCACAGCATCCAATGAAGCCCTTGCATTTTCCTTAAGACTGAATACTCAGGGCGCCTGGGTGGCTCAGTAGGTTGAGCGTCTGACTTCAGCTCAGGTCATGATCTCACAGCTCGCGAGTTTGAGCCCCACGTCGGGCTCTGTGCTGACAGCTCAGAGCCTGGAGCCTGCTTCGGATTCTGTGTCTCCCTCTCTCTCTGCCCCTAACCCACTTGCATTCTGTCTCTGTCTCTCTCAAAAATAAATAAACATTAAAAAAAAAAAAATTAAAAATAAATAAATAAATAAAAAGACTGAATACTCAATCACCCTTATTACTCAGAGCTCTTGGATACTCCTTCGTTCAGTTCCAAACTCCCTCCATGAGGATAACCCTTTGCTAAGTACCTTAGTGATTTCTCGTTCGTGTCCTCTGAAACGTCTCACCACATTTCCGGTTTTCCAGTCGTAGGCCACAGCTGTCTGCAGAGGGTCATCACAGTCACCAGAGTCTTTGTAATATTTCAATTTTAAGTGAATTTTTATTTAACTGAAACAACAAGCCATCACTTCATTCCCCACCTAATTTCACCCTCTCTGTCGAGCCTTGGGGCTTTATTGTTGCCTCCCTCCTCATGTGCCCCTACACAGTTTCTTTCTTTTCCTCCTGACCAACCTCTAGGACCATGGGTCACTCCTTGGAGCCTTACTGATGGGTTCAGAGGAGGGGAACTGACTCAGGTTGAGGTTCTGGTTGTAGATGCTGAAGTACAATTCTACATGGGATTATAGTCTTTTCCCCTACTTGTATCGTACTTTTATTTTAGTGTATTTAAAAAAAATTTCTCGTGGCTCAGTCATTAAGCATCTGACTTCGGCTCAGGTCATGGTCTCACGGTTTGTGAGTTCAAGTCCCACATCAGGGGAACTCGAGCCCTGCTTCGGGTGAATGCCGTCTCTCTCTCTCTCTCTCCAACCCTCCCCCCTCCTTGCCTCTCCTAGGGATTCTCTCTCTCTGCCCCCCACCCCGCCCTGCTCACTTACACCTATTTAAAAAAAATTTTTAAAAATTTGCCATCTTAAAAAAAATCATCATCTTAATAATTTTAAGGTGTGTAGTTCAGTACTGTTAAGTATATTCACACTGTTGAAAAACAGATCACTCTTTTTTTTTCCTAATTTCAAAAAAAAAACCCATAATCCCATCTGCCAGAGAGAATCATTATTAAAACTTTCTTTGTATCCTTTTTCCAGGTGTATACTTTAATATTTTGTTGTAAGCATTTCTCCTCCTGAGCAGGAGACTCCCTGTTTAGCATCCTCTGGCCTGGTCTCCGGTAGTTCATTGCTAGAGAGTTAAGAAGCATGTCAGCACTGGACCTGGTTAAATCCCAGTTTCTTCATTTGTCAAACAGAGAGGCTAACCCTTCCCTACCTACCTTGAACACGTGAAGATCGTATAAATAAAATTTCATACATCTAAGATGATATTGACTTTAAGATGAAATGCTGCCAATTAAATTATGATTACCATGCTTCCTCATCAGTTTTTATTTTATTTATTTATTTTTATTTATTTTTAAGTAGGCTCCATGTCCAATGTGGGGCTTGAACTCACGACCCTGAGATCAAGAGGTGTACACTCTATGGATTGAGCCAGTCAGACGCCCCTATCGTCAATTTTTAGATGCATACTGATTTCCAAGGTGCTAAAGTAAAAAAACATGAGCGTCTTAGAATCCGTGAAATACAACGTGAAAATGAGAGGAATTAAAAGAATCACTTTTGCTACCAATGTCCTGGCTGTGAGTGCTGTGATAGATCCAGATGTGGGGGGTGGGGGGGCTTCCTGATCCAAAGTGACAGTGGGAGGAAGGGCAAGAGAAGGGCAAGAGATCATGACACACATACCAGGGTAGAGATTTTGACAGAAGAACTGCATGAAAGAGACTGGAAGTCTTTTGGCGATGAGGAACTCCTGCGTCTGTGTGTGGGTATGAAAATGGATTGGTTGGAATAACACTCTGCATTTATAAAAAGCACGTGGGTGGTCTGGCACATCACCAAAGATCTTACCACCCGATCCTCACCACTGTCCTGGGAGGCTGGCGTTATCATCCCCATTTCATGGATACGGAGACTGAGGCTCAAGGCCAGTACACGACTTGCCCAGAGAACAGGAAGAGCCAGAGCAGGGACTTATACCCAGTCTGCCTAAGTCTAAAGCCCATGGTTTTACACGACTCAACATGGCTTCCAGAAACGCAAAACCAGCGCTCCCTTCTCAAATAGCTGGGTCCCCGTCAAGCACGCAAACCCCACCTTATCTTTTCCTCCAGAGACACACAGGTCTGAGCTCAGGGCAGCAACGACAGACACAGTATCCACGTGGGCTGGGCTATACTCCTGACAAGCTTTAGTTTGAATTCTCTCTTCTAGAATTCCGTCGGGCCTGCTAAAGAGAGGACGGCAAATGAGAGGCCCACCGCTATGGAGTGCAGCGGGGCCAGGGGAGGAGGAGGTGGGCTACGGGAGAGGCTGAGGAGAAACCTGGAAAGGGGGTACAGAAAGGAGACCCACGGCCATTGCCAGAAACGGGATTATTATCGCTGAGCACGTTCAGAACGACTGAAGGACTGGAATCCGATAAAGGGGAATCCTGAAGCCAAGAAGCCAGGAGTCTCTGCTCACCCTGGAGATTATTCCCAAAGCTGCGGGGCCCCTCTCTGTGTGGCTGTGGACTCTAGCTAATCAGCTGTTTCTCATCCACAAGAAAACAGACCCAACTGACTGTTCCGGGAAGGTCATCAATAATCGCTCTGGGCCTTCTCTTTCTTTAGTGGAGAATTAAAAAAAATTTTTTTTAAACATTTCATTTTTAAGTAATCTCTACACCCAACAACCTCGAGATCAAGTCACATGCTCTACCGACTAAGGTAGCCAGGCGCCCCTTTAGGGAATTTTAATGCATGTGCTAAAACATGGGATCCCCGTCTGTGTAGGACTGCCGTACCTGTACTTGTAAGTGCTATGTTTGAGTTTGCTTTGCAGTTTCCCCATCACTGCACAGGATCTACACAAAACCTTGCAGGGAGGAGACCAGGGCAGCAGCATCCCTTGTGGCTGCTGGAAGAGGTGTCCCCTGCTGAGTAAAAAGAACACGTACTGTTAATTTTGTTAGACATGATAATGGTAGGATGCTTATGTCAACATAAATACTTCTTTTTTTAAAAGATGAATTCATTGTGCTCATTCGCTTTTCCTCCTCTCCCTGCCTCCTCTTCAGGCTCTGGGAACGCACCCTCCGGTAGAGCTTTAGCAGATCAGCGAAAACAAAAACAAAAGTAATCAAAAAAAATTTTTTTTAATGTTTTTATTTATTTTTGAGAGGGAGAGACAGAATGCGAGGTGGGGCGGAGGGAAGGAGCAGAGAGAGAGACACACACAGAATCCAAAGCAGGCTCCAGGCTCTGAGCTGTCAGCACAGAGCCCGACGTGGGGCTCAAACCCACAAACCGTGAGATCATGACCTGAGCCAAAGTCAGATACCTAACCGACTGAGCCACCCAGGAGCCCCAAAAACAAAACGAATTTTAAAAATACAAAGAGGTTTCTCAACAAGTTAAATGTAGAATTGCCGTATGACCCAACAACCCCTGGGAAGGTAGCCAAAACAATTGAAAATAGGTGTTCAAACAAAAATTTATACATGAATGTTCATGGCAGCACTGTTTCCAATAGCCAAGAGGTGAAAACATCCCAAATGTCCAGCAATGGATGAATGAATAAACAAAATGTGGTATGTCCATACAATGACTATTACTCAGCCAGAAAAAGGAATAATATATTGACACATATGATAACCTGGATGAACGTTGAAAACATCACACTAAGCAAAAGAAGCTAGGCACAAAAGGCTACATATTATATGATTCCATTCATATGAAACATCCCTCATCAGAATCTACATAGACAGAAAGCAGATTAGTGGTTGCCAAGAGCTGGGACGATGGGGGAATAGGGAATGGCTACTTTAACAAGTACAGAGTTTCCTTTATGGATAATGAAAATGTTCTGGAACTAGAAGGTGGTGATGGTTGCATAACATTGTCTATATACTACGCAATAACAAATTTTATGTTATGCATATTCTACCACAATAAATACTAGGAGTGTGTATTTGAAAATAAAAAATAATTTTCACCAGTGAAGTTTCTCGAAAAGAGCCTTAGTTATTCTAAAAGGTTATAACCTTCCTAGGGTGTCTGTTTTTTTAATAATTTCACATGGGGCAGCTGGGTGGCTCAGTCTCTCAGTCTCTCTGCCCCTCCCCTGCTTGTACTCTGTCTGTCTCTCTCTCTCTCTCTCTCTCTCTCTCTCTGTCTCTCTGTCAAGTATAAATTAAAAAATAATAATAATTTCACATGACACTTCTCGAAATTAGTGTGCCAGGTCACAGGTAAGAATGAGATACTAGGGACATCTGGCTAGCTCAGTTGGTAGAGTATGCAACTTTTTAAACAATTAATTCATTTATTTATTTTGAGAGAGAGGGAGGGGCAGAGAGAGGGAAAGAGACAGAATCCCAAGGAGGCTTCTCACTGTCCACACAAAGCCCCATGCGGGGCTCAAACTCACGAACCGTGAGATCGTGACCTGAGCCAACTGACTAAAACCTGGCTAAAACCGACTAAGCCACCCAGGTGCCCTGGTAGAGTATGCAACTCTTGATCTCAGGGTCATGAGTTCAAGTCCTATGATGGGTGTGGAGCCTACTTAAAAAAAAAAAAAAAAGAAAGAAAACAATGAGATGTGAGAGCTAATGACACTAAGTGAGACAATATAGGTAATGACCTAGACCAGCAGTTCTTAAAGTATGATCTGAGGACTGGTGGGGATTCCTGAGACCCTTTCAAGGAGTCTGTATGGTCCTCCTTTTTCCAACCACATCTCTGTGTGAAGCTTGATTTTCTTCTTATACTACATCCCCAGTAACGTTGCAATGGATTGAATGCAGAAGCAGATACAAGAACCCAACCGCCTTATGTGGAAGCCAAACGTGAACAAGAATTGCAAAAATGTAAAACAATGCCACTCTTTTCCAACCAATTTTTTTTAACGTTTTTATTTATTCTTGAGAGGGAGAGAGAGAGACAGAGAGAGGGGAGAGAGAGCCCTGATATGGGGCTCGAACCCACAGACCATGAAATCATGACCTGGGCCGAAGTTGGACACTTAACCGACTGAGCCACCCAGGTGCCCATCCAACCAATTTTTTGTGTGTTTTGGAAAGCACTTTTTTTTTCTTACTTTTTTTTTTTTTTTTTTTTTAAATAGGCTTTAAGTTAGGGACTTAAACTCATGATCCTGAGACCAAGAGTCACATGCTCTACCCACTGAGCCAGCCAGGCACCTCTAGAAAGCATGTTTTTCATAAAATTACTTTATGTTAACATGTAATGGGTTTATTATTATTATTATTTGAAAATGAGTAAGTAAATATTTTTAAAATATCTGTTTTAACATAAGGGGCACCTGGGTGGCTCAGTCGGTTAAGCGTCTGACTTCAGCTCGGGTCATGATCTAATGTTTTGTGAGTTTAAGCCAGGCTCTGGGCTGACAGCTCAGATATTGGAGGCTGCTTTGGTTCTGTGTCTCCCTCGCTCTCTGCCCCTCCCCCGCTCGCACTCTGTGTGTGTGTCTGTCTCTGTCTGTCTCAAAAATAAATAAACATTACAATATATTTTTTAATTAAAAAACTTCTTTCAAATATCTGTTTTAATGTCAATAGGTTGCAGGGTAGAACCCAATATATAACTTACATTAACAAAGCTCTTTGAGATCCCCACTAATTTTCAAGAGTATAAGGAAGTCCTGAGACCAAAAAGTTTGAGAACCACTGGCCTACAACTTAAGTAATGTCAACAATGGGTGGTATATTAGAATAAATAGAATTATTGTTTTTCAGATTTATTTGCAACGTCCCCAACAACTAATAAGGCTAGAACTAAGACAGGTGAGTTAGACACATTCACTCAGAAAACACCTCCCAAACACCCAATCTGTGGAGCTCTTATACTGGTGGCCGGTGAAACAGGAAAAAAGTGACAGGAAGACATGGCCAGTGTGCGTTTATCTGCTGGGACTGACGATCTGATGAGGGGCTGATCTCAGCTACTCTGGGTCACGTGTCTGCTGCAACTAGCTCTTCCAGAAGCCAGCCGGTAGAGGGAAGTAAATGGGGGTGGGAGTACTCACTTCCCATCTCCTCTGTGACTCTGTTTAAAGTTTAGGAGATGAGTTTCCTATGGGCATGACTGGCCCAGCTCTAGGAAGAATGGTCTACAGGAAGAAAAGCAGCTAAAATTCACCAAGTATTCTCAGTCATACCATTAAAAAACACTGTTCCAGGGGCACCTGGGTGGCTCACTGGTTAAACTTCTGACTTCAGCTCAGATCATGATCTCATGATTTGAGCCCCACGCCAGGCTCTGTGCTGACAGCTCAGAGCCCGGAGCCTGCTTGAGATTCTATCTCCCTCTCTCTCTGCCCCTCGTCCGATTGTGTTTTCTCTCTTTCTTTCTGTCTCTCTCTCCCCCTCAAAAATAAATAAATAAATAAATAAATAAATAAATAAATAATAAAAAGAAAGGGAAAAAAAAAAACAGGGCACTTGGGTTAAGCATCTGACTTTGGCTCAGATCCTGATCTCATGGTCCATGAGTTCGAGCACAATGTCAGGCTCTGTGCCGACAGCTAGGAGTCTGGAGGCTGTTTCAGATTCTGTGTCTTCCTCTCTCTCTGCCCCTCCCCCCCCAAAAAAATAAATAAAACATTAAACAATTAAAAAAAAAAAAAGTTTTCCACAAGAATTTCAGCTTACACTTTGAGAAACTGCCAGCACTGACCTCCTGACAATATGGGTAACCAGTACAGAAGCGCAGTGCAGTGAAAAGAACATGGTGCGTGCCAACAAGAGCCCTGGCTCCAGCCCCAACCCTGCCTCATCCTACTGTGTGCCCTTGGGTTCCTCCACTTCCTGCTCTGCACCTCGGCTTCCCTATCTGTAAATGAGGATACCAGATTAAATAATTTTTAGTAGACTGTGTACTCCATAAGAGGAAGGGCTCTCTCATATTCATCTTTGTACCTCAAGTGGCTTGCACAGTATGGCAAAAGCATTTCTTGTTAAGTAGCGAATCTAAGGTCCCTTCTAGTTCAGACATCCTAGGATTCTCTATAACGGGCATATGATATGCTGACAGAAAAAATTCCAGGATAATTTTCAAAACTCTGGGATGTTGTATTGCTTATAGGTAGATAGAGGCCACAGGGCTTCCAATCTGCCAGCGTAGCCCATTTTTCAACATTATCATCAAACTGAGGACAGATGCCATCCATAGATCTAGGTCACCAAAAACAGCAAATGCTATAAATGGATTGGCTTTGCTTAAAACTGATTGGATTCTTAGCTGATAGCATCTGGAGAGCCACATTTCCCATCTGAAGAGCATTCACAGGACATTCTAAGCGAAAGATAACTTTTAGAATGACTTACCCCCAAACCAGTAGGATTTTCTGGGTGAGCTGCCGTATTCAATGCTTTGTAACATGTATCCTTTGGAAAATAGTGCAGGCAGCCACTTCCTAATCTCTGTAATTATTGAAAAGACGCTTAAATTAATCTCTTCTCTAAGCATGTTTGTTTGCACTGAAAGGAGATTCACAAGGTAAATAAAGACTTTGTTTAATTAAAGAGATTGTTAAGTGTGTTCTTTCTTCACACAAAGAAAGAGATATCTTACAAAATTCCAAGATCATATAACTGGCACATTTCTAAAATTTAGGGAAAGTATACAAAATGTTAATTATACATCTATTTTAATTAGTTAATTAATGAATTAAAGTTAGTTCTATACCCAATGTGGGGCTTGAACTCACCACCTCAAGATCGAGAGTCACATGCTCTACTGAGCCAGCCAGGTGCCTGGATACATCTATTTTTAAATATACAAAGTAGGAGGGTGCCTGGCTGGCTCAGTCAATGGAACATGTGACTCTTGATCTTGGGTCATGAGTTCAAGCCCTGCTTTGGGTGCTTCCAATAGGAAGGAAGGGAGGAAGATACAAAGTAGGGGTGGGGGGGCACCTGGCTAGTTCAGTGGGTAGAGTACGCAACTCTTGAGCTTGGGGTTATGAGTTTGAGCCCCACATTGAGTGTAGGGATTACTTAAAAATAAATTTTTTTGATAAATAAATAAATGAATAAACATACAAAGTAGGATATTTAAAAAAAATTTTACCTGGCTAGCTCAGTTGGTAGAGCATGAGACCCTTAATTTTTTTTTTTTTTTTCCAAGAGACACAGTGAGGAGGGGAAGGGCAGAGAGAGAGATCCCAAGCAGGCTCCACACTGCCAGCGCGGAGCCCAACGAGGGGCTCAAACTCACGAACCTCAAGATCATGACCTGAGCCAAAACCAAAAGTCTGTGGCTTAACTTAGGCGCCCCATACAAAGTAGGATATATTTAAATGCATCATTAAACATTTTTGTTTTACTCATAGTACTTCTATTCAAAAAGATTTTTAGATTTATTTTAATGTTTATTCATTTTTAAGAGGCAGAGAGAGACAGCGAGTGGGGGAGAGGCAGAAAGAGAAACAGAATCCGAAGCAGGTTCCAGGCTCTGAGCTATCAGCACAGAGTCCGATGCAGGGTTCAACCCCATGAACTGTGAGATCATGACCTGAACCGAAGTTGGATGCCTAACCAATTGAGCCAATCAGGCACCTCCCCACCAATTTTTTTTTAATGTTTAGTTATTTATTTTTTGAGAGAGAGAGAGAGAGTACGAGTACAAGTGAGGGAGCAGCAGAGAGAGAGAGAGAGAGAGAGAGAGAGAGAGAGACAGAATCCAAAGCAGGCTGCAGGCTCTGAGCTGTCAGCGCAGAGTCTGATGTGGGGCTTGAACCCCAGGAACCATTGAGATCATGACCTGAGCCAAAGTCAGGTGCTTAACCAACTAAGCCACCCAGATACCCCATTCCAAAAATTTTCAGAGCTGACTGCTTACTTCAGACCTTACTGTTTCTGTGAGAAAGACAATTTCTCCTGTTTACTTATTTTTTTAATGTTTGTTCATTTATTTTTGAGAGGGAGAGCATGTGAGTGGGTGAGGGGCGGGGAGGGAGAGGGGGAGAGAGAGAGAGAGAGAGAGAGAGAGAGAGACAGAGACAGAGACAGAGAGACAGAGAGAGAGAATCCTAAGCAGCTCCACACTCTTAGCACAGAGCCCGATGCAGGGCTCAAACCCACCAACTGTGAGGTCATGACCTGAGTTGAAACTCTCCTGAGTTTCCTGAGCACCCCTCTCCTGTTTAAAATAATACTTCACTTAACCGACTGAGCATCCAGGCGCCCCTTAATACTACTATTAATACATATATATTAAACATATGTAACAAATATACACAAAGAACATACACAAATAGGTATATGAATCTGAAGGATATTAAAATGAAGCCAATTATGTCTCCTGACCAGAGCGATCATACCAAGAATTCATTAAGTTATATATTATATAACTTAAAGGCAATTTAAAATCTCAACGACAAGGGTGCCTGGGCGGCTCAGTCGGTTAAGCGGCCAACTTGGGCTCTGATCTCACAAGCCCCACATTAGTCTCTCTTCTGTCAGCACAGAACCCATTTCAGATCCTCTGCCGCCTCTCTCTCTGCCCCTCCCCGTGCATGCATGCACATGAGCTCTCTCTCTCTCTCAAAAATAAACATTAAAAAAATAAAATAAATTCCCAACAACAAAGTATATGTACTTGGGTAATGTCCACGTAGTTGTGATTTATTATGAGACTAATCTAAGAAGTGAAAATACTATTCAGTTATCTTCCATTGTTTATACTGTGAACACATAATATACTTGACAGGAGGGGCAGTGTCTTGTTCATTTTTTTTTTTTTAACGTTTATTTATTTTTGAGACAGAGACAGAGCATGAATGGGGGAGGGGCAGAGAGAGAGGGAGACACAGAATCCGAAGCAGGCTCCAGGCTCTGAGCCATCAGCCCAGAGCCCGACGCGGGGCTCGAACTCACGGACTGTGAGATCATGACCTGAGCTGAAGTCGGACGCTTAAGCGACTGAGCCACCTAGGCGCCCCTGTTTTTGTATCTGAGCTTTAAACATAGCCTGGGAGAATGGATGCAGTGCAAATATCTGGGGAATGAATGAATAATTGCACACTAAAGTGAAGAGTATGCTTGGCAAGAAGTTTTTGTTTTGTTTTGTTTTGTTTTGTTTTAAAGTAGGTTCCATGCCCAATGTGGGGCTTGAACTCAAGCGACCTTGAGCTCAGGAGTCACATGCTCTACTAACTGAGCCAGTCCGGTGCCCTACAAGCTTTTTAAGAACCCAACAACATAAGAGTTCTTTAAAATTGACCAGCAGCAAAACATTCAGTGAAGTTACCTGAGCTTGGCCCCAGATTTTGGTCAGGAGAGGCTGGAGGGGGCTTGGAAAAGCCATAAACTCAATTATTGGCTTTGGATATCCTTGTTGTTTCCAGATAAAACCAGGCCTAAATCTGAATTCCAGAAACCATTGCTGCTCCAATTTGCTTTCCAAAAACCTTCAGACACCCAGTGGTCACTCTAAACATAACTCAGAGAATTCTCCTTTAACTCTCCAGTGCAGTATTCTTTGATAGACTCCAGCATATATCCAATTATTTTCCATCAAGAAAGCAGGACTCAGAGGGTTGTGACTTGTTAAAGGTCACAGGAGGCAGAGCTGGGGTAATGGATCTTATTTCCCTGGACTCCTGGTCCACTGTTCATGTAAATGCTGATTTCATATCTCCTTCCCTCTCCCCAAATCTCCTTCTGTACACAAGACATCAAAACGAAAGCTCAAACACAAACAAAACCACAGTGGAAGCACTGGAAGAAGGTCTGATTCGACCCTCTAATGGTAGATAGGGGAAACTGAGGCCCACAGAATAAGTGGGTCTTGCCCAGAGTCTCACAGGGAGTCAGCACTAAGGCCAGAAGTTCCAAGGTTGCCCCAAATTTGGGGGACAACCTGTGTACAATTTTTCCTTCCTGTCTCTTCAGATCACAAATGTCCCCCGTTATATCCATGTGGACTGCCAAAGCTCATTTTTAATGTGTTGGGGGTGGGGTGGGGTGAGTAGTTCACCCAAACAAGGTATATAATGCCATCCAACCCAAGGCCTGCCCTAGAACTCCCCGCTTTGGCCAGGTGGGCTGCTGCAGCCTGCAAAACGCTAGGGCTCCCACAGCTCTGCCCGTCCCTCCCGTACCCCTTCCTCCCCAAATCGTGCTCCATACCCACCAGCCGGCTGGCCGGGCCGGGAGCTGGGGCCGGCAGGGGCGCCGAGTGGAGGGAGTCAGCAACCACCACGCTCCACAGCCTCCCATGCCACCGCCCCTAGCAACGAGGCGCGCGTCGCTAGGGCAGGAGTTCCGCGAAAAGCCTCCGGGCGCTCTCCCGGCCCCAGAACTGCAGTTCCGCTCATCTGCCGTCTCCCCGAGGCCAGGCCCCGAGCACCCTGGCCTGTTTTCTGACTGGAACAATGCAATGATGAGGTTCCAGAGAAGAGGAAGGTTCTGCCCGAAGATCGCGCTGTCTGGGAATCTACAGAATGCAATAAAAGCGGTACCACCGAGAAAGTCACCGAGAAAGTACTGAATAAATGTCATCTTTTAAATAGTTATTCGCCCCCTTGGAGGTGTTGTTTTAGTTTTTGGAGTTTTCCATGATTCCACCCCGTGATCTCTCCCTTGGACCCTTTCCCAGGTCCCCCCCCCACTCCTATTCCTTTCATTCTTTCTTTCATCAAACCGTTACAGCCCAGCACCACAGCAAAAAGACCCCTCAATATCATCGTGAGATCCAGTGGGAAGACAGTTCCAGAAACGAACAGCAGCTGGAGTTGCATTGCTTCCAGACTAGAGTCTATTCATTTCTGTATTCCTAGCGCACAGGGCTTGGTGCAGAGTAACGGTTTGTTGAATGGATGGATGGATGGATGGTGGATGGATGAACGAATGAATGGATGAATGGCATCCTAACCAACATTTCACTTGCACCTAGTAGGGATCTGCTGCAGTCCTGATCTCCCAGCAGAATCACCTACAACAAAGACATGTGGAGTTTCTGAAAGCTGGGTGACTGTGGGAACAGGAGTAGGGGTGGCAAGAGAAAGTTACCTTCACAGAATAACAGAGCTGGCCATTGGCTCTATCTTCCAATGCAAAGAGGGAATATCCTCCACAACAGTCCTGATGGGGGATCCTTTGCCTCTGTTGACTTCCCTCCCTGATGATGCACTCATTACTTTCTGGATCAGTGTCCTGTTCCTGACAGGAGCTGAGGTCTACCCCCATGCATCACTGATCTTAGTTCAGAACTGAGGGCTCTCTCTACAAACTCAATCTCTTTTGCCCACAACAACCTCGTAGACTTCAACCAGGAGAGACTGATTGTTTTGCCCTCAGGCACTGGGCTAGGCTCAGGGTAGCTTAGAGAGTTGACTTACCTGATCCCTGCCCTCAAGATTTTCTTCCAGAAAAGGCTTCAGGTTTAAGGCACCTGGGACTCCCAAACTGGTATCTCTAGCCAGACTTCTCCCTACACCTGTAAATCCACCTGCTTTCTGTCCTTTTCCACCTGGCTGAATAAAATACACTTCATTCTCAGCGTGACTCACCCTGGAAACATCATCTTCCCCCCAAACCTGTTCTTCCTCTTTTCTCTCTGAGTGCTGGGCACTACCATTCACCAATCACCCACCCACACCAAGGATCTTGGAGTCATTTGTAACTTTGTAACTTCACTCTCTCTTCTTTGTTCCAGAACAACCCCAAGACTCCTGAATTCTTCCCCTGAAATAGCCTTTAAAAAAAAAAAAAATCTGTCCACTTCTCTCTACCCACCACCCAGTTTCAAGCCAACATCATGCCAGAGTGTGACAGATTAAAACTGGCCACAAATTCTTTGCAGTTTCTCCCATCAGGGCTGGTCTAGTAACTTATTTTGACGAATAGAATGTGGTAGAAGTGACATCATGCTACTTTTGAGTTTCAGCCCCAGTTTGCCAACCCACAGAATTGTGAGCAAATAAACACTTGTCATTTTAATCCACTAAGCTTTGGGGGTGGTTTGTTATAGACCATAGATAACTGATATTCAAAATAAAGTCCAAATTCCTTCACTAGGTCAATAAGGCTTGGTCTATATCTCTTTAGCCTCAGCTTCCACCTCTGGCAACCACACTGTAGGTTTCAATGGTCTAACCTACTTGCAGCTTCTTGGCTCACCTTGCTGCTGCCTTTGAATCCTTGCACACAGTGTTCCCTCTGGCCAGGGTATCTCACCTGTCCGTCTGGCTAACAATCCTCAGCTTAGAGGCCATCTCCCTCTCTACCCTCAGGTCTTCCCTAACCATTTCTCTCTTCCTCCAGATTGAGTTAGCTACCCTTCCTTTGTGCTTCCAAGGCCCCCACACTTTCCCTAACGTTGTGTGATTTCCCATTTATTGGTTTATCTCACTGGGTTATGAGCTCCATAAAGGCAATGACACAGTCTTGTTTACACCTGTATTTATTGCTGATGTCTAATACAAGATCCAGCACAGCACTGCAATAGAAATTTCTGCTATGATGGAAATGTTCTATGTTTGTACTTTTCGATATGCTGGCCTCAAGTCACATGTGGCTACTGAGCACCTGAAGTGTGGCTAGTGCAACTGAAGAACTGGTTTTGTTTTGTTTTTTTTTTTAAGTTTATTTATTTTGAGAGGTGGGAGGGGCAGAGAGAGAGAGGGAGAGAGAGAATCCCAAACAGGCTCCATGAAGAGCCCGATATGGGGCTCGAACCCATGAACCTGGAGATGATGACCTGAGCTGAAACCAAGAGTTGGATACTCAGCCAACTGAGCCACCCAGGTGCCCCTAAAGAACTGAACTTTTTTTTAAAAAAGTTTATTTATTTATTTATTTATTTTTTTGAGAGAGAGAGAGAGAGAGAGAGAACACAAGCAGGTGAGGGGCAGAGAGAAGGAGAGACAAAGAATCCCAACAAGGCTCTGCACCATCAGCGATGTGGGGCTCAAACTCACAAACGGAGAGATCATGATCTGAGCCTAGATCAAGAGTTGGATGCTTAACTGACTGAGCCACCCAGGTGCCCCCTGAATTTTAAATCTTTTTTTTTTTTTT